CTTATGGAAGCAGAGAGGGGTGGAAATACAGGGACATGGAGGGGATAGGAGCCCCACAAAGAGACCAAAAAGCTAAAGGATCTGAGCCCAGGGGATCCTGCAGAGACTGATGCACTAACAGAGGACCCATACATGGAGAGGACCTAGACCCTCTGCTCAAATGTGACTGATTGGCAGCTCAGTTTCCATGTGTATCTCTGAGGGGAACAGGGGTTACCTCTGTCATGGACTCAGTTGATTGCTCTTTGATCACTTGCCCCTTTTGACGCAGCCTTACTAGGCTATGGAGGAAGGAGGAAGAGGATCCAGGCAGTCCTGATGAGACTTAAGCTATGGGCAGATGGCAAAGTGGAGAACTCCCCTTTCACTGGACTAGAGGAAGGGGATGGGGGGAAGAGGAAGGAAAGAAGGTTGGGACGTGGGGGAGTTGAGGGAGGGGCTTCAATGGGAATGTATAATGAATAAATTATGTAGAAAAAATTAAAATAAAAAAATAAAAGAAAGAAACTCTTGGGTTTCCTCACTAAGAGTTCCAAATTCAACCTAATCTCTTGCTGTCTTGTACATAGAAAGTAAATCATTGTTATAATTATTGTCTGAATTTATTCATTTATTTACACATACATTCAGACTACAGCACCCATTCCTATTTAACAGTGCATGTGTATTACACAATTATAAATGTAACTCTGTAAGTGTTTAATATGCTGGTTCCAACAGGTACGTAAAATTTTATTATTTATTATTATTTATCTCTCTGCAACCTTCATGCTCCCTTCAAACTAGCCTAGAACCAAATCAGTATTTATCCTTATTTTGGTTTAGCTGTAATCAACATAGTAAGTAGTGAATCATTGTACAGAGCATTGGCATCTACTCCTGAGAGTGTGGCTGGTAGACTGGCAGCTTCTTTTACCCAAGGATAACTCTGGAATCCTAAAGCTGCTGAATCACGTGGCCATCTCTATCATGATTCCCAAAAAAGGAAGTGAGGGTAAGCCAAAAGTATCAAAGTCTGTCTCCGTCAACTCACCTTCTACACCACAGATCCATTTTCCAGATGGTAATAGCATTCCTAGAGAGTACCAAGGGGCGGGGATAAGAGTTAAAACATATGAGCCCACGGTATATGATTTGCCTGCTTTATTAAAAAAAAAATCTAAATTCTTTGAGAATTTCATACATTGTGTTTTGATCTTATTCATTTTCCCTCTCTTAATTTTTTCCAGATCCACTCCTTCACTAGATACCCAACTTTGTGTCCTTTAAAAAAAATCATCAGTATACATTCCTCTGTTAAGGTACATCTAGGTTGTTTTCAGATTCTGGCTATTACCAAAACAAAACAAAAACCCTGCTATGAACATAGTTGAGCAAAATGTCCTTACTGAATGGTAGAGCATGTTTTGGTATATGCCTAGGAGTGGTATAGCTGGATCTTGAGGAAGTGCTATTCCTCATTTTCTGAGAAAGCTCCAGATTGATTTCCAACGTGGTTGCAAACAAGTTTGCACTCCCACCAACAATGGAGGAGGGTTCCCCTTTCTCCACATCCTCTCCAGCATGTGTTGTCACTTGAGTTTTTTATCTTAGCCATTTTGATGGGTGTAATGTGAAATCTCAGGATTGTTTTGATTTTCGTTTCCCTGATGACTAAGAATGTTGAGCATATCTTTAAGTGTTTCTCTGCCATTTGATGCAGCCTTGCCAGGCCAAGAAGGAAGAGGATCCAGGCAGTACTGATGAGACTTAACAAGCTATGGGCAAATGGCAATAGTGGAGAACTTCCCCTTTCAGTGGACTAGGGGAAGGAGATGAGGGGAAGAGGGAGGGAGGGAGGGACTGGGGGGAGAGGGCTTCAATTGGCATATATAATGAATAAGTTGTGAAGAAAAAATTAAACAAATCTATCAGAACCAAATTGTGCCATCCAAGTATTTTCTAGTATGTAACCCCATAGTACCTTCTAACCACAACACACTCCTTCCCTGGCTTCTGGTAATCCCTGTACTCCATGCATAACTCTGTCCTCATTTACAGCGATGTCTTATCTGCATTGTGTTGTGGTTAAATACCCCTCAGATATTACTCTGTAATTTATTGAACAATTCAGCTGTTTTACTTACGTATTCGGTTAGGGTCTGCTGAAACTGTATTAGAAATCAATCTAATCACCATTTAACCACTTCTTTAACTTATTATAGAAAAACTAATTGTATTTCTTCTTTCAAATATTGCTCCTCCTGATTTAAATCACTATTCTATCCATGGACATCTCATAAACAGGGCTCACACCTTTCATTCCTCCACTTGTAATATGTTTACTTCTTTGATCTGTAGTTCCAGGTAAATGACCCACATCTTTCTTCTGTAGAAGACACTCAGACATAAGCTATGAAATTAAAATGAAAAAGGAGTCGCACAAATGGATTAGAGACTTATAAGAAATCAGAGCTTCTCATCTTAAAAACAAAAAATAGAAATTAGGGAAAGATTCCAGTGACTGCATGATATTGTAAGAGATGTACCTCATTTAAGTCAATTTCAAGTTTTACTTCATAGGCATTGAATAAAAAAAGAGAAGGCCTAGAGGGAACTGGTAATCATTTTCATAGAAAGAATAGTAGGTGTCAAATACACACCATCAAAGAAAGATACAGTTGAGATTGTTTATGCTAAGATTTCAAAACATAAACAATATCGCAGGTACATAAAAATACAAATAATACATTTCACTTGTGAAAATAATTCTTACAGCATCTGTATTCCCCAATGACATCACCAGAGCACACTTATTACATCCCGGGCAAGTCCCCAATGAGTACAGTGTGGACAGCATTCCACTACCAAGGGTGGAGACATGTGGGAACCTAGAAGTGTTGCCATGGCAACAAGCGAAACGTGTGTGTGTGTGTGTGTCTGTGTGTGTGTGTGTGTCTCACTTCTTTTTCTAATAATAAAATAGTATCAACATCTTAGTGTGTGCTTTGTATTAAAGAAAAAAGGGGAGGGCTTAAGAGATGGCTCAGTAAGAAAGCAATTCCTGTTCCTGCAGAGGCTTAGCTTTGATTCCCTGCACCCTCCACTTTGCAGCTGTCCTGAACTATAGTTTCAGATGATCTGGAACTCTCTTCTGGCCTCTGCAGGCACTAACCACACATGCAGGGCAAATACATCCATGCAGGCAAACACTCACACACATAAAATAAAAATAAATATTTTTAAAATAGGGCCCACGAAGTTGGAAAAGAGATGTGGAGGCAATAAAATCCAACAAGCTGTTCCATATCAATTCACATATCTGTATTGTTTGCATTTGTAGTAGCCTTCTAATCTCTGTATTTAAAAGCCTTATCTGGAGTATAAAAATTTTAAAGTGTATCGTACAGTAGACTGGCAAAAATAACAATATATTCACAGTTAAATCATTTAAATCATACAAAGAACATCAAGTCTAGTTCTCAAATGTCACCCAAACACATAACTGCTAAAACAAACAAACAAACAAAACAAAACAAAAAAAAACAACTCTGCAAACGCAATCTATGCAGATATGTGGATCAATATGAGGTATCTTTTAAGACCATTATCAGATATAATAAGTGCAGTGTATAATAACCTTCATAACAACATTTGAAAAGGTCCTTTACATGGAGGTGAACCAGAAAAATGCCCTTATGCTGAAAGTGTTTAATGGGCCGTTTTAATAAACACTGCAGTAAGTTGTTTGACCCTATTTTCAATGTGTAACGGGAGAACAATGGAAGACACTTAAGACTAATGGAGGTCTGCTAGAGGGCTAAAAAGGATGCAACTTTAGTACTGCAACCACTGACTGTTAATCAGAAAACATAAACCTTGACCCACTGTGAATGAAAACACTTTAACATCAATCTTAATTTGCCTGCCATCACAAGAGCTTGCTCAGAATTCCAAATGCTTAATCATAGAACTTGTATCCTTAACCCCTCAGCATGTTAGAGGATTTATTCCTATGTTGGCACAGGTGATTTCAGACAGACAGGTGGCAACGGTAGAAAAGACATTTATCTCCAAAATCACGAAGATTCCAGGAGTTTTCAAACAATGATGGGCTAAAATATCGGACAAGTGATATCACAGGAGGTCTGGCTGCTACACACATGCTTCCACGAGGTCAAGAGAGCTGAAGATTCTAGCGTGGATGGGGATGGGAGTCTCAGTGCTCCCTCCTCCCCCCACCCCCTTAGCTGAGGAGATAATGATGGCTGCGCAGGGAGGAAAAGACACTTTTCTTTGTGTTGGGAGTGGCCATCAGTAGGCTGCCTGTGGTCCAGTGGGGGACTCTTTTACATGTGCATAAGGGCAGCGTTATTTGGACTTAGTGACACATAAAAAAGTAAAAGGCATTCAGTTGGGAGAAAGATGGGGGACATGCTAGGATCGAGGAGAGGATCTTGACAAAGGGAGGAAGAAATGGACATGACCAAGGTGCACTGTTTAAGTGTGGAAATATTAAAAGACTAAAAACTGATAGGGGTGGTCCTCCTCCCCTTGGAGGGGAATAGGGGGAGAAGAGAGAGAGAGGATGGAATTGAGCTAGATAGGGCACCGGGGTGTCTAGGTGGTGGAGTCACCTATTCTGAGGAATAAAGAAGAGAAAATGCAGAGGGAGGGTAGGACTGGGAGGAGAAGAGGGAGGGGTCTATGACTGAGATGTAAATTGAGTTAATTTTAAAAAGTGAGCATCAGTAGAAATATTTGTTCCTTTACCTTGGATTTGCCACATTCCTAAAAGGGTGCTAAAAATAAAAACTTTTGCAACCACTAAAAACAAAAACAAAAACAAAAAACAACCAAAAAAATTAAATAAGCATAGGGTCAAAACAAAAAAATAAATACTAAGTTCTGATAAGTTATTTTCTAGGGTCATCTGACAAACTAATTTTATTTACTTTCACTAATTTGTTAAACAAAGCAAAGCTGTGGAAATAAGGACCTCGGATTAAATGTTTACATACCACCGACTCCGTACTATCAAAGCTGTTACTCATGTCGTGCTCTTCTGTGGATGTCACGTCAGTGCTTGGTACTGCTGATAAACGCATGCATTTAAGTACAATAAAATGCAACGAAATGATGCATAAAATAAAAATATATAAAATAAATAGAAATGTTTAAATTTAGTTAAAACAAAAAATTGAACTTTTATTCTCCCAACTCATGTTTAAATTTACTCTTAAGTTTTAGTTGAAGCTATAACTCTTTTGAAGACTTTTTTATTTTACTGTTTATTTATGCATATGTCTGCAATCATATAAATGTTCCAAAAATATGGATGCCTGCATATGGCAGAAGAGGCCGCCAGATCCTATGGACCTATCGTTAAAGGGAAATTATGAGTCACTTGATCAAATTCTGGTCCATGGAAAGAGCACAAGTGCTTTTAACAACCGAGCCATGTCTTCAGCACAGAAGATACTTGTAGATACTTGTACTTGGAGATACTTGTAATCATGTAAAATACACACACACACAGACACACGCATGTTCCACATATGTAACTTTTTACAGACGTTAGTTTGCTACATGTTAAACAAACATGATTTGAAAGCTTCACCCACAAATCCATTAGCTGAACACAAATGAAAACAACCCAGGAGAGAATAGTTTACATTTTCATTGCAGAATTCAATCTCAGTGCAAGACAGAACTGCATCTACTAAAAGATATACACACACATACATAAAAGTTTAAGAACATAAAAACAAGAAGCTTGAAATGAATATTTATAAGTTATATATTTATAAATGTTTATATATAAATATATAAAACATCTGATATATGATTTTTCTTTTTCCTTTCGACACTGGCTTTATCAACCATGCTGAGCATTACACTCTTCCTTATTCAGCAATAGTATCTGGAATTATACAGTTAGAACACAAAATAAATAAGTATCACAGAGACTTAATATGCTGATTCCCATAAGAAAAAAATTCCCATTATTATTTTTTTTTTGGAATTTTTCTGCTGTCTAGAAACACACTAAGAACTGAAATCAATATTTGCTTCCATTTAATTGTTTTATAGCTCAAGCTTTCTTGTAAAGAATCTTTGCATGAATCTTCTTTTTGAATTTACATTTGAGATTTTCTTATATTAGTATGGTATTTACAACATTCTACACCTTTCCCCTCTCTCCAATTCCTCATATATATATATGTATATATATATATATATACATATATATATATGATATTCCTCATATAGATATAATGGTCATTCCCAAAGAATGTTTGCTTAACCAAAGTCCTCTTGATAATCCAAGGACAGAGGCAGAATGTCAGAGCTGCTGAACTGCAAAGCCAATCCCAAAAGTGGATTCAACAGATTTGAGAATTCATGATCAGTATTCAATCTCCCATTAAATTCCACTAATCACCAATTAACCTTTTCAAAGGCTAGGCCCTGTCAGCCCCTCACTCCCATGAAGAGAAATCACGTGTTTCCGTATGAATTCATTTAAAACGACCGTGTTGTGTTTGACCACCTCAGAGCTCCTTCTGTGATTTTCTTCTCTCCAGTTCTCTTATTTAGGCCTCTCTGCAGCTCTGCTGGGAGGTAGCCACTGTTGCATATTATTGATGTATATCATACCTGATCTGTTACCTTATGTAAAGCAAACATAGTTCTGTGTGGTGGGGTACTACAACAGTTAAGCCCTTCCCAGTAGTGAAGGTGGCAATAAGAATGGAAACAAGTCCACTGATAGGGGAGGACCTCCTCCCCATTCATCTGATCCTGTTTTATCAGGTATCTTCAGGACTGGCTGCAAAGCTCTCCTCTGTGGCCTAACAGGACTGCTCCTCCCTTGGGGGGTGGGGAGGCCAAAGAGCCAGTCATTGAGTTCCTGTTAGAAATAGTCCTTGTTCCCCTCACTATGGGAAACCAATTGGTTACTGAGCTACCACAGGCTACATCTGAGCAGAGGTTCTAGGTTATATTCATACATGGTCCTTGGTTGAATGTCAGTCTCAGAAAAGACCTTGTGCCCAGATATATTTGGTCCTTGTGGAGCTCCTATCCTTTCCCCATCAGACTAACTCCCCTTCTTTCTTATGATTCCCTGTACTCTGCCAAAGGTTTGGTCATGAGTCTTTGCTTTGAAAACACTGCTAGTTAGAGTCTTTCCAATGCGCTCAGTAGACTCCTGTCATACGTTCAATGTGGACTTGGAAAGGGGCACGGTGGAGATGAGGGAGGGAGGGAGGGACTGGGAGGGAATGAGGGATCGGGACACGGCTGGGATACAGAGTTAATAAAATGTAACTGATAAGAAAAAAAAATAAAATTAAAAAAAAATAAAAAAAAGAAAGTGACACAATACTAAAAAAAAAAAAAAAAAAAGAATGGAAACAAGCTCTGTTCCCTGTCACAGTTACGTTTTCAAAGACCAGCTGCCTGCTGGTTTTTTTTAGTGCTATTTAATTTGTCTTCTAAAGAAGCTCGTTATTTTTGCACATTCCTCGGATTATCTCCTCTCCCAGTTCCTGTTAACTTTCTGATCTAAGCAAATTTCTCATAACCCATTCCCATGTGCTGTCTGCTTCATTATGCTACTTCTCAGACAATAACTTATATTTAATCTACTTAACAATTTAGCTACAACATCTAGAGGGACAGTATTAGACATAATTCTCATCACCACTGGACTTGGTTAATGTTAGAGAGTATGTGTGCTGTCTTCCAGTGTAGGTAATGCCTCCCAGTTGACATAAGTGACCCTTCAGCTCTCTCCACATAAAACAGAGCTCTTACCTTTCATTCCCATCCTCGCTATATTTTCCCTTTCTTGACCTGGAATCCCAGGAAAATGAACAATATCCTCCGTCAGTGGATGAGGCTCAGATGTAACCTGTTAAAATTATAGAAATGAATTGCAGAAAGCCACACAACTTCTAAGATGGTCTGACTATCTCAAGTCAAAAGCAGTGAGACTGGGAAATCCGAGAGCTCTATAGGTGATTTCACATCACTGCTACAGAGAATCTCATATATATTATCAACAGCTAAGTAAACTTTAGGCCTCGTTGTCATGGAAACATCACGGAAAAGAAAACATCTGTCAAGGAAACATCACAAGTAAAGAGTTTTACACGAAATTTTTTTAAACTATTTTTTGAAGATTCATTTATTATTTATACAACATTCTACCTGCACACCAGATCTTACTATAGATGGTTCTGAGCCACCATGCGGTTGACTGGGAATTTATATGAAATTTATATTACATAAGCACACACACGCAAAGCCTTCCAATGTGAAAATAAATTCCACTCGTTGTTGTTTCAAAATGATATCAGGTCAGGTGTGTGCTAAATTCTCATGCATTACAAGGCAACCCACACAGAGATATTTACATCTGGGCGGCATTCTATTTAACTAAAACTGAAGAGATGTTGGAATCTACTATCATTACCATAAAGTTATAGAAACAAAATGTGTGTGTTGTGACACGTGCTTATGTTAAAACAGGATGTCTATCTTAATGTTATCACAAAAGTTACGATAACGACCATATGCCATATTAGGTTTCTATTGTGAAGGTCTAAATTAAATCTTAATCTTATTTTATAGATGGAGGAACTGAAGCTAACTTAAGTAACACAGAATGAATAGCCTTGTTATACAATGCAACACAGCCTTTCTTTAATCAGAATTCACTATATTTTCAGTATAGCCAATGAATATATTCCATGTACTATGCCAAACCCAACAAGCATTGTATATTCAGAGGCAACTTTTGCTAGTTTCTTATAGCTAGTCAATAAATGTCAATTGGTAATGATAACAACAAATAAAGAAATCTCACTACACAAAACAAACACAAATTGCTGGCAAGGAAAACAGATTAAGATAAAAAGCAAAATATTTCACTGTGAAGAAAATGAAAAAATAATTTAAAAGTTAAGTCAAAACTAATTTTTATTGATTTATTATTTCTTACAAGTTTTTCAATTTGTATCCTGGCTGTGGCCCCCTCCCTCATTTTCTCTCAATCCCACTCTTCCTCCCTCTTCTCCCCCTATGCCTCATGCCCCTCCCTAGTCCACTGATAGAGGAGGTCCTCCTCCCCTACTATCTGACCCTAGCCTATCAGGTCTCACCCATCAGGGCTGTCTGCATAATCTTCCTCTGTGGCCTGGAAAGGTTACACCCACAGGAGGTGGTAACCAAAGGGCCAGCTACTGAGACAATGTCAGAGACAGTCCCTGCTCCCCTTACTAGGGAATCCACATGGAGACTGAGCTGCCTGTGGGCTACATCTGAGCAGGGGGGGTCTAGGTCCTCTCTAAGCATGGTCCTAAAGTCCAAGTGGATCAAAGACCTCAACATAAAACCAAGCACACTAATTTGTTAGGAGAAACAGTGGGGAAGAACCTTTAACTCTTTGGCACAGGAGACAACTTCCTAAGCAGAACACCAACAGCACAGGTTCTAAGATCAACGATCAATAAATGGGACCTCATGAAACTGAAAAGTTTCCATAAAGCAAAGGACACTGTCGTCAGAACAAAACGATAGCCTACAGACTGGGAAAGGATCTGCACCAACCCTACATCTGACAGAGGACTAATATCCAGTATATATAAAGAACTCAAGAAGTTAAACACCAACAAACCAAGTAATCCAATTAAAAAATGGGGAACAGAGCTAAACAGAGAATTCTCAATAGAGGAATATCAAATGGCAGAGAAACATTTAAAAGAAATGTTCAACATCCTTAGTCATCAGGGAAATGCAAATCAAAACGACCCTGAGATTTCACCTCACACCCATCAGAATGGCTAAGATCAAAATCTCAAGGAAGGAAACATGCTGGAGAAGATGTGGAGAAAGGGAAACCCTCCTCCATTGCTGGTGGGAATGTAACCTTGTACAACCACTTTGGAAATTGATCTGGCGCTTTCTCAGAAAATTACCACAAGATCCAAAACTAATTTCTATTAGAATAATTGATGCAAGAGTATCAAATACCGAGGCAATTTAT